AGAAGCCACCTTTAAAGGCGCTATATAAAATAAAGTTTATTATTGTTATTATTATTATCTAGAAGACAACATTTTTCTAAATCAGATACAAGTCCTGCGTACAAAATGCTAGTGTTAGACAAAGAAAATACTACAAAGGCATGTTTACCTACAGTCATGTACTGTGATAACATATCACCATCTTTATTTCAGAATTTTTCAACCACAATTTGAATGAAACACTGAAAGGGCTGAAAATTGCAGATGCATATCTGTTAAAAGCCAAGCGTATACTTCTAGAAAATTGAGATAAATGTTAAGGACATCAAAAGGATGAGAAAGGTCTGCATCCATTCAAAATAAAAATTAAAGCCTTTGCTGATGCACCTGCCCTAACAAATGTAACTTGTAGCTTTTTGAACTATTTACACATTCCTTCCAAACTTGGCTTGGGAGCAAACATTTTCACAACCAGAAGAGCTACAGCAATTGGCAGATGTATTTGTGCATTATTCAGCACAGAGAGACTGTGTGATGTCTAACTGTGTGATGCCTCACTACATTGAGTAGTCTTGTCTCACAAGATTGACACTGAAACTGAGAGACTACTTGAACTAATGTCCATGCACAAAAAGGATATCCACAGCTGGACAGAGTGGTATTAGATATAATATAAGGAACAAACAGGTTTCTGAAATAATTATTTGGTCAACTGTTCACTGTCTTTAATTTTAAACATGATGTAGGTGTTTAACAAGAGAAAACCAAACATCCCATATGTTTTTTCCAAGGATCCATATCTGAACTGTCACACTTCAAAGTAATAAACTGTGTAGAAACCTAAAAAAAATTACCATGAAAATGGAAATGCTTTAAGTACCTTTTCCTGTGATGATGTATGACAAAGGAATCAAAGGACATGGTTTCAAAGGACAAAGGTTTTAACGTTGGATTATTTGGAGTATTATTTATAGTTGCACTGATAAAGAGAGTGGACATCTAAAGATCCAATCTTAAGTCAATTCAGGGAACATATTCTATAAGGTTAGTCTGTGGTCACAGCTGGACAGCAGAGCTGCTTGTTGAGGAAACTTTGATTAACCTTTGATGCAAACATTCATGACCTGAAATATTAGAAATATTAAGGGGGTGTACAGTGGTTGTTGAACTGCGTGTG